GACCCAGGAAACATGAACACAGTTACAAAACACTTTTCACACAAATAAAGTCAGATCTAAAGAACTGGAAAAACATCAGTTGCTCATGGATAGGCTAATAATAAAAATGACAATTCTGCCTAAGCTAATTTATTTATTCAGTGCCATACCAAACTACAAAAATTATTGTATAGAGCTAGGAAAATAATAGCAGGATTCATTTGGAATAACAAAAGGTCCAGAATATCAAGGGAACTAATGAAAAGAAATGCAGGGGGAGGTGGCCCAGCCGTTCCAGATCTTGAATTGTATTATAAAGCAGCAATCATCAAAACTGCTTGGTCCTGGCTAAGAAATAGAGTGATGGATCAGTGGAATAGGTTAGGTATGCAAGACACAGTAGTCAATGACTGTAGTAATCTACTATTTGATATACCCAAACACTCCAGCTTCTGGAATAAGAACTCACTATTTGACACAAACTACTGGGAAAACTGGAAAAGAGTATGGCAGAAACTAGGCATAGACCAAAATCTCACATCATATACCAAAAGAGAGTCAGAATAGGTTCATAATTTAGATATAAAGGCTGATACTACAAGCATACTGGGAGATCAAGGATTTATCAGATTTATGGAGAACAGAAGAATTCATGATCAAACAGGAGACAGAACATTATGAAATGCAAAATGGATAATTTTGATTATATTAAATTGAAAAGTTTTTGCACAAACAAAGCCAATGCAACCAAGATTAGGAGGAAAGTAGAAAACTGGGAAAGAATTTTTACAACCAGTGTCTCTGATAAGAGCCTCATTTCATATAGAGAATTAAGTCAAATTTACAAGAATGCAAGTCATTCCCCAGTTGAGAAGTGGTCAAAGGAAATGAACAGGCAGTTCTCAGATGAAGAAATTAAAGCCATCTATAGTCATATGAAAAAATGCTCTAAATCACTTGATTAGGGAAATGTAAATCAAAACAACTCTGAGGTACCACATCACACCTATCAGGTTGGCTAACATGACAAAACAGGAAAATGATGAACGATGGAGAAGATGTGAGAAAATTGGAACACTAATGTGTTATTGGTAGAGTTGTGAACTGATCAACCATTCTGGAGAGCAATTTGGAACTATGCCCAAAGGGCTATAAAAATGTGTATACCCTTTGACCCAGCAATAGCACTTCTAGGGCTGTATTCCAAAGAGATCATACAAATGGGAAAAGGACCCACATGTACAAAAATACTTATAGCAGCTCTTTCTGTAGTGGCCAAGAATTAGAAATTGAGGGGATGCCCATCAATTGGGGAATGGCTGAACAAGTTGTGGTATATGAAAGTAATGGAATACTATTGTGCTATAAGAAATGACGAGCAGGTGGACCTCAGAAAAACCTGGAAAGACTTGTATGAACTGATGCTGAGTGAAGTGAGCAGAACCAGGAGAACGTCGTACACAGTAATAGCCACGTTATGTGATGACTAATATTGATAGACTTAACCCTTCTCAGCAATGCAAGGATCTAAGACATCTCCAAAAGTCTCATGATAGAAAATGCTATCCACATCTAGAGAAAGAACTATTGAGTTTGATTGCAGATCGAAGCATACTATTTGCTATTTTTTTCCTTCTGTTTTATTTCCTCTTTCTGGTGGTTCCTCCTATTGGTTCTAATTCTTCCTTTTAACATCACTAATGTGAAAATATGTTTAATAGGAATGTATATGTACAGCCTATATCAGATTGCGAGCCGTCTTGGTAAGGGGGGAGAAAAATTGAAAACTCAAGTTTATGTAAGTGATTGTTGATAAATCAAAATAAATTAACAGGAAAAAAAAGAAAAGAAAGATTCTTTACCATAGTATGCCTAACGTTAGTAAGAATATTTTGCAAGTCTTTTCGAAAGGGCTTTAAACGTGATAAGACATGGAGAAAATTGTCTAAGTTACTATAGAGAGTAGCCACAGGGAAGGAAGAGTAGCAGGTGAGACAAAAACAAGAAAAAAACCCTTAGTAAAGCCCATGGCGTCAGCTGTCTATATGCATAAATGTCCGGAGTTTATTCAATGAACAAAGAACTACAGATCCTAATGTAGCACATAGGCATAGTTGACCTCAGAGTTCTCACCAAGTCTTGGTGAGATGAAACGTTTGACAGACCCTGGATGGATATGCCTTTATTCAAAAGAAACAGGGTGATGTTAAAAGTCAGAGGTGTAGCATAGTATATTAAGAAGGTATACTCATGTGAAGAAATCCAGGAAAGGAGTCGAATCATGAAGAATAGTATTTGGGGGATGCTCAATGGAGAGAGAAACAGATGTGATTTTGTCATTGCCATATCCTTACAGGTACTCCCCTCTCCCTCCAAGAGAAAACAAGAATGGAGGAAGAGTTTGGGAAAGAGATCACAAGCCTAGCTCAGAGACTTGATGTAATAATGATGAGGGACTTCGTTATCCAGACACATGCTGGAGTGCTGCAAAAGCAGAGCAGCTAATTAATAACCATTTGCCTAAGTGTTGATTTCATTCTTCAGATGGTGGACGAACTCACAAGGGGAGATTCTGTTTTGGATCTAATTCTCATTAGCAGAAAGGAACTGGTTTCTGGGGTGAAAATGATAGGAACTCTGGAGGGAAGTGAACACTGTTTCCTAAATTTTGTGATAAAGGAGAGGAAGTCCAACCATAGTCTGATACATGATTTAGATATTGGAAAGCAGATTTGAAATGGGTTCAGAGTAAACATGGCTAAGTTCCCATGGAATAAAATACTTCAGGGGAAGTCAGCCCAGGAGAGATGGGCAATGTGTGGAAGTATAAAGGGAAACAATTCCAATGAAGAACAAAAATTATATATGTTTAAACAGACCAATTTGGATGCATAGAGATGTCGCTAACCAACTTAGATTTATAAAGGACATGTACAGAAGATGGAATCAAGGCCAGGCATGAGAGAATGAATGTGAAAGCATGTTTTTTGTTGATGTTCAGTCATTTCAGTCATGTCCAATTTGTGACTCCATTTGGGGTTTTCTTGACAAAGATAGGGGAGTGGTTTGCCATTTCCTTGTCACATGAGGAAACCCAGGCAAATGGAATTTAAGCCCCAGGTCACATGGCTCGTAAGTGTCTGAGGCCAAATTTGAACTCAGATCTTACTGACTTCAGGCACGGCACTCTATCCACTGTGCTACCTAGCTGCCCTTAAAAACATGTTGTAGTCCTGCAAATTTGATCTTAGGATGGACTGAGCCTGGAGACAAAGGCCAGGAACAACAAACTCTGTGTGTGTGGGTCTGTTTGATGGCTGTGTTGAAAGGAAAGGGACCAAAGTAGGGGTGGGGGACCTTTGCACAGATGGACATGTAATAATAGACAACATAGAGAATGCATAGCTGCTTAGTTCTCATGTCACTTCTGATTCTCTGCAACCAGAGATGTTGGGACCAGAAATGACGGAACAAAAAATGTTGGCATAATACTTAAGGTAAATAAGGAGATAGTGGAGAACACCTATCACAGATGAATTACCTCTTTGAGTCCTGAAAGATCTGGCAGATGTTTTTGCTGAGCCATTGTCAGTAACGTGTGAAAGATCACTGAGAATAGGAGAGGTGTTGTAGAATTGGAAAAAGGGAAATGTTCTGATTTGGGCAGGGTGAGGTGGGGCCGGGAGGCTGGCAAACTCGAGGTCAGCAAGCTTGGCTTTGATTACCAGAAAAGCTGTATCAACATCATTGATGCATCTAGAAGCAGCGCAGCTGAGCTTCATCAAGAACGGGTCATTCCAGGCTTAACCTTGTTTCCTTTTTTACCTAGGAGGTAAGAGTAATGTAACTGTTATTGAGCTCGATTTTACAAAGCTTTTGTTAAATGTCTCATTCTAACCTTGTGCAGCAGGTGCAAAGATATGGATTAGACAGGAATACAATCAGATGGATTGAAAAACTGTTTGGATTACTAGACTCCAAGTGTTTTATGGTTCCATGTTAGTATACGGTGATCTCAGATCTCTTTCTGTGGTTGGCCCTGTGCTGTTCCACATTTTTATCATTGATTTAGATTAGGGCATCAAGGGCCATGCTTATTCTGTCTGCAGATGACACAAAGCTGTCAGGAATAGCTAGCATACAGCGTAACAGCATCCAAATGGATTTTGACTGAGCGTGAGTTTGGATCTAATAAGATGAAATTCATTAATGACAAATGGGAAGACCTGTATTCAGTAACAGATCATCCACTTAACTAGTATAAAGTGGGAGATGGAAGGATAGCACTTTTTCTTTAAAAAGATATGGGCCTTTGAGTGGACTTACTGTAGGCTCAGTAGGAATAAATGGTGTGATGTTGCAGCGAGAAATGCTAATGAAATCTTGAGCTTCATTAGGAGAGGCAGAGTTTGCAGGATTGGGAGAGGGAAAGTGTTCCCTTTGTACTTTGATCAGACCTCGTTTGCATTATTGTCTTTAATTCTGACCACCATAGTTTAAGAAGACTTTGATCAGCCAAAGATTATCCAGAGGAAGACCACTAAGATAGTGAAGGGCCTCTTATATAAAGGTCAGTTGAAGGAACTAAGTGCATTTAGCCTAGAGAAGACTCCAGAGGCAGGTGAGAGGGAGAGACATATGATACCTGTCTTCAAGAACTTAGAGGCCACCATGTTGGATAGGAAATTGCAAAAGAACCAATTTCAGACCAGGGAAAACTTTCTACTAATCAGAGCTGTCCAAAAATGAAACAGCTACGTCTAGAGGTGATGGACTCTGCTTCCTTAGAGGTCTTCAGAGTCTTTTGACTTTTTTTTGGTGCATTATAGTGGTGATTTTCCCTTTGTGTATAGGTTGGAATAGATGATCGCTGAGGTGCCTTGCAACTCTCAAATCCAGCAATTTCACTTACTTGTTTTAGTCTTAATGCAGTATTAAAATTTTTGTTATGATAATTTATTTATTTTTTTTTTGTTACTAAGGAATCTGTTTGTTCTTTTATGTGTTTTTTTTCTGGATAGGATTTAGGTCCTGAATATGAAGATGTATTTAACATGTCTTTGCAATGGATTTTAGAAAATGGAAAGGATGTTGGCATAAGGTAAGTTATTTTCTTTTAATTTTGTTTCCTTTAAAACTTACAAGAAAATGGCTTAGGTTTTAAACTCCCCCTTCATTATTTTTAAACAGGTGTATTGGTAATGGCTCAAGTGAAGATTTGACAAACATAACTGATGTGCAGTTCCTGCAATCTACCAGACCTCAGATGTCTTTCTGGTGTCGCTTTCGACGTGCATTTGTTACTGTGACTCACAGATTATTGTTGTTGTGCTTATTGTTGTTGTTGTGCTTCGGTAAGTTGCTGTGCTAGGATAGTCATAGTTTGTATTATGTAGAGTTTGAAGAAGAGAAGGTAGTCTGCAGAGTAATATTCACTATTTAAGGATTTTTGCTGTTGTTTAAAATAATAGCTAATACACCCACATGATTTATCACTGCATGTTTTGTGGAGCACTTTGCCGATATTATTTCATTTGATCCTCTCAATAACCCTATGAAAGTAGATATGTTCCCATTTTACAGTCCAGGAAACTGAGAATGAAAAATGTTGAATAGCTTGCCCAGAGTCTTTCTTATTCTAAGTCCAACACTCTCTCCAGTGTACCATATTAATTGTGTGCCAAGGAACTCTCATGAAAAATATTGAATTGGATTTGAAAGGAACCCTATGGGATGGGATGGTGGGGATGTGGAGATGAGACTTCTTTTTTTTTAAACAGACCTTTGTCTTTTCTCATTGAAAGTAGGGAAATGAGAAAGTAGGGAAAAGACGTGATTTTTAAATTATAAGTTTACTTTGAAATACTTTGGATGTATATTAAGAACACTGAATTTTGTAAAATGTTGACATTTATGTTTAATGGTGAAACGTAAGGCAGTTTCACTCATTTCTTCTTTCTTTCCAACCCTTCTAAAAGTTGCATTTTCCTAAAATCATGTGCTTTAATTATTTGAGGAGATTGTTAAGATAAATTTAGACTCATCCTTTTGCTTTTCTAGTAGTTCATTATTTTGAACTCATAAAGAAAAATCTTTGTAAAATATTATCAGGTTATTTTAAATTTTAGAATTAAGTTAAATATAAATGGATAAATGTTAATAGTAATGGAGGGGTGTTTTCTTAAGAAACATTTAAGAATTGTCTGGAATTTCTTAAAATGTTTTTAATGCTATTTTAATTAGTGTTAAAATAATACTTTGTCTTTGAATCCTCATTCATTGTTGGCTTTATAAATACTAAGCTTGGAAAACTAGCTTTCTAATACTTTTAAGATTAAAATGTTTTTAAGATGCAGCTAAGCATAATTTTAAAAGCACATTTTAAAATATTTCAGGTGTAGTGATGGCTTGTGTAGTTCTGCATTATGTGAAATACCACTGGACGAAAGAAGAGGAAGAAACAAGGCAGATGTATGATATGGTGATAAAGATTATAGGTATATAATTTTAAAGTTTATTAAAATTTTAAAATTATAAGATGCTTCTCAAGCAACATTTTGATAAGTAGTGTATTTAAAGAAAAATATGTTAAGACCTCTTGAGTAACTAATGCAGCCATAAAGTATGATGACACCTTATTCTATTTTCAGATGTGTTGCGAAGTCATAATGACGCTTGCCAAGAAAATAAAGATTTACAGCCATACATGCCTATTCCACATGTTCGAGATTCTTTAATACCACCTCCAGACAGGTATGTTCAAAGCATGGCTGAAGAAAATTAAAATGCAGGTGATTCTAAAGTAGTGTGTCCAGAGTCATCGAGCCTTGCCTGTGCTTTTGGTGTATGCCTCCTTTTGGGCCCTCATAGTCTGTTCATCTCAGTACCCTCCTCGTGTTTTAGCAACCACATGGGCCAGTTCTAGAACTAGACTGTTCTGTGGTCCTCATTCTTTTGTATGTTACTTCTGTCACTGCCCAGCTGTGTTTTGAGTTTTATTTTATTTTGTGTTGGAGCCTGAGAACCCTTGACAGATGGAAAGAAAAGTCCTAGGACCCAAAAGTTATATGACAGAAGAACAGTAAATAGCTTAGTGTAACTTTTTTGGGGGAGTGATAAACACAAGTAGGCAATCAACTAATGCCATTTCACAAGCAAAACCATAAATCTTCTTGTATTATTTTTTTTAATTTTAAGTAGAAATGCTGCCTGATTTCTTACTGGGAATAAAAGATGATGCAGCATATTTTATTTTAATAGATGTACAATGAATCAAGCTATGGGAGTTTAACTTTTTTTGGTCTCTATTTTAGGAAAAAAATGAAGAAAGTCTGGGATAGAGCCGTGGACTTTCTGGCAGCAGATGAATCTAGAGTTCGCACAGAGACACAAAGAATAGGCGGCGTAGATTTTCTGGTTTGGAGGTGGATACAGCCGGCAGCGTCCCGTGACAAAATCTTAGTGGTACCCTCTAAAGTTTGGCAAGGACAAGGTATGCCGCCCTTGAAGTCATCTTTTATTGTTAGTTCTGTCGAAGATTCCACTCACAGGCAACAGCTGTTTGAAGTCACTTTACCCTTTCTGTTCCTCAGTTTCTTTATCTGTAAAATGAGGGGTTAGATTAGATGATCTCTAAGGTTCCTTCCTTCTATAAGTCCATGATCCTTTGGGGCAGACCTTGACCTTTTGCTCTTAAAAGGGATTCAGATTGTCTAAAAGCAGGTCCCGTCACATTTCAAATACATCAATGATAGACAAAATTCTTAATAGAGGATACTTACTTATGTAGAGTGTTATACAGTGGAAGTGTATAATACTCTTAATAGAATGATGTACAGTGGGAGGACTTGTCTTTGAGTCAGGACACCTGAATTCAAATCCTAGTTTTCCTTGCTAGTTTTGTGACTCTGAGCAAGCTGTAAAATGGGGATGACAGTCTTTGTGCTATTCGCTGCCTAAGCTGGTTAGCACTATATAAATGTCAGCTATAATTATATCATCATTATTTTTGAATCTGCATGTGTGTCTTTTGTCTCTAGGTTCATATCCTTTTACCATCATACCCAGTTTGTCCTTTAAAAAATAATTATACACCTCCTGCCCCTCCCTTTTTGTCTAAGCTTCCACTCAGATTCTTTTAAGTCATTTTCTCCCTCATCCCCTTCCCCTCAGGAAAAAAAAAATCTACAGCAAAGCCATATGAACCCCTGTGGTTTTATCACTCCCCCTCCCCCCATACCACTATTTTAGCCATTGGGTTTTACTTAGTTTGTGTTTGGAGTTGGAATGCTTAAGGGATTTAAAGAATATATTGGGTCCCAATGCTGTATGGCAGAAGTATTTTAACACTTGACAGTGTTGATTGGACAGTTTGGTCTGGAAGCATGCTATAAAACTTAATTTACTCATCAAGGTCATTAGCTATTATCTTTGAACATAATAATTATTGAGGTTGGGAGAATATTATAGTGGAAAAATTAGTGAACCAGTACATTCATCTAGAAATTGATGTGTTTTAACCTGACTATACCACCAACTAACAGTGTGGCTTTGAGCAAGCCATTTAACCTCAGTATATTTTTGCTTATTTTAAAAGGGGATTAATAATAGCAATTTTATCTGCCTTACAAACTTGTTGGAAAGCTTTGGTGAAAAAATGTATTTGAAAAAAAATTTGGAAAGGATAAAATTCTATGTTATGTAGCATTTTATGTAACATTCTAAAACTGTTATATTGTAATATCAATATAATTAACATTCTATTAAGTAATATAATATCAATATATTAATGAATGATAGTATTGATTTGGTGTAATTAATAAATATTATAATAGTTTATATATAAGATAGTATGTATCTATTGCTTTTTGCTATCTGTTTTGTTAGATAAGTCACTTTTGTCTTCACAACATTGAACCTAGCTGGTCTTGTTTATTCATGATGAAAACGAAGCCAGTGAGTTAGTGATTGCCAAAATTATAAAACAAAGTCATTGCCGAGTTAGTTTGAAAGGTTAGAGTGCCTGTATTCTGTCTATTATACCATACTGCTTTCCTGGAGACGTGTGTGTATCCTTTTTATCATGTTTATTTTACTACTGTAGTGCCCATTGTGTTTAATGAACTATTTGTTTCGTTGGGCTTCATTAGAATTATAATTATCACTGCAGAAACTGACATCTTGTTAGTTGATGGTGAAATAGAGCCTCTGTTAACAATTTAGATTTGAGACTAGTTTCCAAATGCGTGGTTTACTTTTTAGTTTGGTAGTTAAAATTTAGGGGTGTATTGTAGGCAGATGAGATATTATCACTGTACCAATCACATTTTTGCTTAAACTTTTTGTCAATATCCCCTAAGGACCAATTGAAGTTAAACTATTCCTAAAAAAGAGGTCTCAGCCCTTCAAAGAATTTAAATGACTCTTTTCTATTTGAATTCTTTTCCCAAATCTTGATTAAGACAACTTATTACCCATCCAATACCAACACATTAATTTCATAAGTATGATACTGTTGTTTGATTTAATTGATCTTGTACTGACAACATTTTTGTTAACTGAGTATGAGAATATTTGTGTCATCCCTAAATTTGAACAGAGAATTGCAGGCCCAGCTTTTCTTTTAAAACTGAGTTTCTTGCTTATTACAGCAGGAAAAAGGAACCACTGGAAAATTGATTAATTTTGTTGGAAATGTCAGGAGTTTTGTATATTCCATTTCCTTTTGCCCTTTCGTTTCCCCCAACTAAGAAATCCTCTTGATTCCGAAAACATAATGAAAACCCAAGTCTTACGTAGGCACACAGTCCCCCTCGTGTTCAACTGAAAATTTACCATTTGTTTTTCCTTTTAAGTTCATGATGTCCAGACCCACCACAGATGGCTAGCTCCAGCTTGCTGTGATGCCCCTTTTGTGCAGTTTTGCTGGTAACATCACACTCACCTTTGTTCTTTGATGAAGCCGACCTCTAGAGGTCAGGTAAGTTCCATTTCTTACAATGTTGCGCAGTTCTGTGAAGTTTTTATTTTATACCCACTGGGGTATAACATTTAAAAATAAAACTTTACAAAACCATGTGCTATTTAAACAAACAAAAAAAAAGGACTTGCCTTAGTCCTTTGCAGCAGGATTCAAAGGTTATGATGTCACCAGCAAACTAAGCAAAGGAGGTAGGATTGGGTTGGGAGGGAAAGGGATATCTTACAAAAATGGAGCTCTTGATCTGCAGTGGAGCTGGAAGTCCTACATCAGAAAATGGTGAGTGTGTAAGTTTGTTCTTTGTTCTACAAAATCATACTCACCATTAATTACTGAAAACAGCATTCATCTAAAAGGTAATAAAGTGATATTGAGAACACTAAATCAAAACACTAAAAATCAATTACAATTCTTTTCCAACTGATCATCCTTACAAAGTTAAAGTAAAAGGCTATTTTACATCATGAACTAAAGATAGTCTGGATTTTGCCAGGGATTGACAGGTAGAATAACAGTCCTCTTTTAAATAGAAATGTGAGTGTGAAAAGGATACGTTCAAACTAGAACTAAAAACTAATCAGACTTGATTTAAATTAGTGCCCGATTTTAATGGACATATGATCCTAGTATAATATTTTATAATTAGTTTTTTCAGTAAGTTAATTATAAGATTTTGAGGAATGACCCCAAATTGCTTATACAAAGCTCCCAAGCTTCTTTTAAAGATAATTGATGCTTTCATTTGCTTATCTAAACTGTAAAAACTGATTTCTTATTTGGAAATTCTGATACCTCTAAAAAAGGCCTGCACAAAAATGTCTAGAACATCATTAAAATTCCTACCTAAACTTCAGTTAAAGCATAATGGTGTTTATAATTTTTTTAATGAATACAGGAGGGAAGAGAGGAATTCTCTCTCTGCACATGTGGCAAAAGGTAGTCTTGGCATTTAGTTAAACTAGGCCCCAAACAAATTAAGTTGTTGTGATACTGCTTTTTAAAAAGTTTGAACTAGATTCTCACTGTAAAGCCAGTTTTCAAGGGAAGTGTTAAGTTTCTTCTTCTAGTACTTCCACTTAAATACTCTCCAGTGGTTTAAAAAAAAATAACTTACATTTCCTTAGATTCTTTTAGGTTTACAAATTATTTTCTTGCAATAACCCTTTGATTCATTTAGTGTAAGTATTATCCACATTTGACAGGAAAGGAAACTGACGCCCAGAAATTGCTTTGCCTAAATATTACACAGATCAAGTCAGAGCTAGGATTCAAACTTGGGCCTATAGATTGAAAACCCTTATTCTTCCCTCTGCACCACAATGCTTCTCTTCAGTGGAGTTCAAAATGGACTTTAAACTTTGCTATATATAGTAGACCCCAGACCTTGTTGGGATTCACCAGATATAGAACATGAAGATTTTTAGTTAATTCTTTTATCCTTGATGAGTTTGTCTCAACGGAATTCTTGTTCCTTGATGTGGGACTTCTTAACTGTAAAGATTGTTATAAAAGCAAAATAATGAAAGAGCAGACTTTCCCTTATTTTAATGTGATAACCACATGCCATATTACCTTTGCAAATATTTGAATTATTTTAATAGCACTGCATACTGTTAGAATGATGTCATATTAATAGCTGGTGCGTGTGCACGCGTACACACACACACACACACACACACACACACACACACACACACACACACACACACACACACACACCCCTTTGCAGTTTACAAAGGTTTTTACCTACATTTTGCAGATAAGTAAATAAAGGAACAGACAGGTCAAGTAGCTCTCTCCAGATCACCCAAGATTCCTGACTCTAAAATCTTTACTCTTTTCCAGCTGATACAAAGAGTAGAGTATGACTGCTCTTCATTAAATTGTAGCTATATTACTTCTCCACAATATAACAGCTGTAAAAAATGAGTTTTCTTTTTTGTAGCATCATACTACTTAACAGAGTGTGTAAAACATTTTTTCTCACTGTGCCAAAAAGGGCAATTGCAATTTTTGATTAAGCACTTTAAAAATGAAACCTTTCCCAGGCTTTCAAGTTGTGAAGAATATGTATTGTTATTATAACCTTGATTTCCCCCAAGGAATAAGAAAACACTCACTGTACTGATAATGAATAAAGCTAGAAAAGAAGTGGCTTGATTAAACATCAAAAAGTCATAGTATTTAACAAACAATACAATTTTCGCCCCAAAAGATAGCTCTAAAGATTCTGGAGTTGACCGATTCCTCCTGTGGAGGGTAAAAGTCTCTGTCTGCAAGGTCTTTGCCATCTAGTTAGGAAGAAAAGACTTTTATCAAGTAGGTCTATAAAAGTTTTTCATTCTGAAGATGGCCTGGTAAATAAAACTCATTCTAGGCCACTCTTTAGTCCAGAGAACTAAAAGCAGGATTTTGGGTTAGGTGGAGAAAAGTTATGCCATTCTTTATGGGACATATGTTCTTTCATCTCAGCCAAAGCATCAGAAATTGAGGAAGCAGGAAAGCCTAGAACTTGACTGATCTAAGAATCAAGCAGAAACTCTTATTACTATAGAATCCTGGAGAGTCCTAAAGCTTCAGCAGCACCTGTGCAAGTGGAAATTGAGAGGATCAGTAACCATGAGGCAAGAATTCATTGCAAAGGGAGAAAAGCCCACTGAATTTTATAATTTTCAGCCCCTAGACAAATAATGAGCTTCTTAAATTGCTTCCCCAGGCTGCTAAGTTATCAGCTACCTTATCAAACTATCAGAGTTGGTATGTAACATCCCTTCTTGACAACTCTTATTTCCTTTTAAATGGTGGAAGCAGAGGGACTCATTAATTTTTTTTTAAATGAAATACATGTCTATAAAATGGCATAGCCACAAAATACTAGTAAAATTGATTTGTTTGTGTTTTCTAGCATTTCATTTAGATCGAAGAAATTCACCGCCAAATAGTCTGACACCATGTCTAAAGATTCGAAATATGTTTGATCCTGTTATGTAAGTATGATAGTTATATATACCAAGTGATCTTGATATGCTGTAGATCTTTTAAGGTTGAGTTATTTAGTTAGGAGTATGAAAATGTATTTCATGCACCTTGTCAAGCTGTAGCACTGGAATCCTAACCAGATCCCTTCACCATGGTATGGAGGTGACCCTCGGGGCCTCCAATTCTTTGCCAATAGAGTGCAAGTTGTAGCTGGGCCTTCCAAGCTGGAAAAGCTGCGGGTTTGGGCTCACTGAATGCCGTGTGTCTGTCCTCTAAGGACCAATCCACCCAAATGGGAGGTCCTTGTTACCAGGTTGGTTGTGTGATTATGACTTTTTCAGCCGTAGCAACTAAACTGTAGAAAAAAGGTTGTCATCTAAGTAAGAGGAATATTCTCAGTAATACATCACACAGAAGTCCTTTGGGTATACCAACAGGTGACATTGTATTTTTACTTTAAATATTGTAATCATAAGAAATGTATCTCTTCTTCCCCTTATTAATGTCTAAGGTACATTTTGTGTGTTAAGACTAGCTATCAGGCACTCCCTTCACTATTTCCTCCTGTCTGACATCAACATAGAAGTAAATGTAGGTGGTGATAAAACAGTACATTTTTGTAATTGTGTCAAGCATGTCTAAGAAGCACAGTGGTTAGAGGGGCAGCCTTGTATTTAAGCAGACCTGGTCTGGCTTCTACTCTATCCACGCAGTTTGACTGTGAGCAAGCCCTTTAATTTCTTGTCTACCCAGGCAACTCTCTTAAGACTGATTTACAGATGTGTTGCTAATTTGCATTGGTAGAGGCTTTCACACTCAATCTTCCTGTAGCAATTAAATTAGGGGTACTACATCTCCATAAAAAGCCGTGTTCACTATATTTATCTATTCATACTAATTTACAGGTATATCTTACCTTTGGTTGTCCTAGCCAGTGTTATTTTGCAATAAGATTGTTCATATATTACAAGCAAATTCTACCATATGAAAATCAGTTACCTTATTACCCATGTAGAACATCATTGGTGGAATTGTCCGCTTTTAAAATCATTTCACTTAATGGAACCATTTGATGATGTGCTTATAGAATGACCTTTCTTATTTGACATCCTAATTAAAAAAAAATCCCTATTTCTATATGCAAATGTGTATGATTTCTAGAACTTTTCTAGTTATATCATGATAATGATAAATCCAAGATATTGATTAAAACACTTTTTTTCTAAAGCATGTTCTATCAATATTTCTTTATATCCAAGTAACTAGCAAAAAGTGAAAGTTCATGGTATTGTACCTATGAGCTTTTGACTATAGATGTACATTTTATTTTTTATTCATTTATTCATCCATCCATTCATTCATTCTTTTATTTATTTTTTGGTGAGGGCAGTTGGGGTTAAGTGACTTGCCCAGAGTTACATAGCTGGTGAGTGTTATGTGTCTGAGGCCAGATTTGAACTCTGATTAGATAATACATTTTAGCAGTCTGCTTTCCTTAAATAACATACTAGCTGGTTAAAACTCATTAAAACAAATAGCTTAATGAGAAATTCTGCAATTACTAATATACCTTAGTAGAATTATTTCATTGTATTATTGTGTTTGTTTTAATAATAGTTTTTTAAAAATGAAATATCTTTCAATTTTTAAGAGTGAATAGCCCATTATACGAACTCTTAGAAGTTATTAAATATGACGGTATTAAAGTAACTTATAGGGGCAATGTTTATCTATATTCTTGAGTTTAAGTTTAAGAACTTTATAATTTCAGTTATTCGAAGAAAAACAATCTGTAACTTACGACAGACAAGGAAAACTTTATTTTACTAAAAATAAATGTAAATGTAATATAAATTTAAAAATGTAACAGCACTATGGCTAGAAAGAAAAATCAAGATTTTAAGAAAGACGTTTAGTTAAGGATAAAAATCATTCAATATTGGTCCTACATTTTTAGCATAGTTCCCTGTCTATCAGAAATGCCATCATTTTAGCACTGGTAAAGTGACATCATTTGAAGGTTCATAACAGTGTGTCAGATGCTAAGATGAGTTTAAATATTAATCAACCAGAACTTACTAAGCATCTATTAAGTGCAGCAAAAACAAAAATTGTACATACTAAATACATGTAAATTGCTTTCTTTGGGAGGGGAAACTGGCAGCTCTTGGGGACAGGAAAGATACGTAAGTTGTGTTTTGAAGGGAGCTGGAGGTGCTTTGAAGTGGTGGTAAATAGGGGCCACAGCCTGTGTAAGCACACTGAGGTGGGAGATTGGAGGGAGCACACCCAGAATCTGTCCAGGAATGTGATGGATAAAAGCCTGAAATTGTGAAGGGCTTTGAATTCCAAACAAAGTAGTTTGTATTTTATCATAGAGGCAAGAGGGTGCCAATGCATAGAGCTTTTTGAGCAAGAGATTGAGCGCTGTGTTTAGATCAGGGCTTTAGGAATATCATTTTGGTAAGGATGGATTGGCAAGAAGAGGCACTGGAGGCAGGGAAATGATTGCAGAGTCAATCACAGTAGTCCAGGCAAGAGATGACTTTTTAATTTTTTTTATTTAATTTTTCCATCATAAGAAATATCACTGTGCATCTTTTTGAAATAGTGAATTCTGGTAGTCAAATTATGGCAGGGTGCTATTTTTTATTGAATAATTTAATGTGTTTTTTTAATTGGTTTTTAGGGAAATAGGGGATCATTGGCACCTGGCAATTCAAGAAGCAATTTTAGAAAAATGCAGCGATAATGATGGCATCGTTCACATTGCAGTAGACAGAAACTCGTGTGAGGTAAATTAGCTTGCATGTATTCCTTTCATTGATTTGACATAATGAAATCAAACTGACTGTAACTATTATTTCATCACAGGGTTGTGTTTATGTTAAATGTCTGTCTCCAGAATATGCTGGAAAGGCTTTTAAGGCATTACATGGCTCATGGTTTGATGGTAAGAAATTTGTTTTATAAACATTTTGAAAAAATGTGATTTTGTGTATCAGAATCACTCAGCATTTCAAATAAAAGAGGAGCCCATTTAGATTAATATTTATTATTCATTTACGTTTCAAGATTGTATATCTTTCAGTAGCTTTTTTCTTTTAAAAACTAACTGTATTTCTTCTTAGAATCTAAAACATTCTTTGTATTTTTACAACAGGAAAACTGGTAACAGTAAAATACCTACGACTAGATAGATACCATCATCGCTTTCCCCAAGCTCTCACTTGCAACGTTCCCTTGAAGCCATCAAACAAACATATGAACTCTATGTCTCATCTCCGTCTTCAGACAGGCACAGCTAATTCTCAGGGAAGCTCCTGAGAGAGTATTTCTCCCACTGCTAAGACTATTCACAGCAGGAAAATCCCTGTTTGGCTGCCGGTCTTCCTTTTTTTTTTTTTTTTTTTAAGTTTTTTGTATGTAATATTTTCATTGATGAACACAGGTCTGCTTGAATGTTCCAGAAATCTTCAGTTTCCAGAGGGACTTAGAATAACATTGAACAAAAAGAACAATTGCTTCCTGTCATTTGGGGAGTTCAAATCAACCAATGCATTTAAAGTTTTGCATGAGGAACATTGAATTTATTAAACATTTTTCATTATGGTGGTTGTACATTGCACCAAGAAGTGTTTTAATAACCACATAAAAGCATGGTGAAGAGAAGACTTATTGCATTTTCATAGTTTCCTGTGAACTAATGTTGTGAGTTTTTGTAACCAACCACCTACATGGTTCCTGATGACTGATACGTAAAACTGTTAATTTCAGAATTTAATCTTAGGTTTCTGTTGCTGTAAGAGATTCATTTGCTGCCGCTGGAATATGGGGAAATTTCTTTGGCTTTAGTGGTTGCATATTAGTGTGAAGGGATGCAGATATATTTAAACTGGTTTTTGTATATACATGTAAATGCTGGTGGTGGCAAAGGTAGTCCTGTTCTGTGAGGATGTCTGCATTAATGCAGTGAATAAGCTTCCTATTTTATTCATAACCTAATGTTTTATATTATATATAAATATATATAAATATATATAGGCTGTACCATCACTTAGGTCAATCAGCCAAACACCTTAAAGTATTAGATACCAGTTTAAAATATCTTTTATAGGTTTTATATAAAATGTCTGGCTATGATTTTGTGTGAAAGTTCTGATACCAATTGTAATGAATTCAAATTTATGTAAGCAATAAAGAAGCAATTGGCAGATACTGGAAAAATATTTTGTGAAAAGCTGTATTTATTATAACAGGACTGTGACAAAGAACCATTGGGATTGAGTCACTCTCCCAATCTATTTATAATTTAATAAAGTCTTAACCACCCAGTTATCTGTAAAGTTGGAAGCAGTGTACCATTTTGCAATAAAATGTACATTTGTTTGACAAATAATATTTGCGATTTTGGGTTTGAGAGCTGGAATTATAGTAAATGTACAAGTGACAATTACTTTGTGCCTCAGTATTAAAATTCAACTATTGATAAGTTATTTTATTACTGTTGATAATTTCTGAGTAAGAATGATTGCTGAGCAAAATTTAGTTGTATTCTTCTGATTGGCTCTCCTAATATCCTGTTGATACAGCATATCTATCAATTCTTCAAAGGAATTCTGCATAGATAGCAAGCCTGGAAATACATGAGTTCTGATAATTTTGTTTAAAGCTCAGTTTTTTTCCTGTTTTTGTAAATGTGTTGGGTTTGCAGCATGAACTTGCACAGATAATGCACGTTTTCTGGTTAAGTAAACATGATGCACACTTCTGCAACACAAAACCCTATTGTGCCTTACCTTCGTGCTTTTGTGGGCACCATGTTTATGAAGAATAAAGGTGGATTTGTTAACTGAAGAGAATACATTTAAAATTCTCAGTTTACGTCTCAGATGCTAAAGTGTGAAAATATAGATATATAATATATAAATTAACTGATCTTGCTGTATTTTATGTGCATCATAGTGATTTGTTGACTTAAGCTTAGTGACCCCATCTTGTGACCTGTTGCAAGAATGAATGTAAAAATAGCTGTGGCATTTTAAAAGGTCGCCTTTTGATGCAAATGCATCTTTCCCTTGCTTCTAAAATATAGTTCATGTAAACATTGTACATTTATTATTGTAACATGTACTATTATGCCGCATATTTTACCTACAACTGTTTAAGCTGACCAATATCCCTCCCTGCAAGACAGATGGGAATGTGTATAATAACCTAGACATTTGAGACGTTCAGATGTTTGATGTAATTTGTCACTTGTCCTGTTTAAAAAAAAACACAAAACACAAAAAGAAAAAAAAACTCTAATTAAAAGTTTATTAGGGGTTTTTACATATGTCTGGCCTTTTAGATTTTTTTTTTAAAGTGCCTTGTGTCTGTCTGACTCTTTTTCTTTGGTAAAAATGATAGCATGTGTTAAATTTCTAGACATCTTGATGAGTGATCTCTATATCTTAACCATAAGCACCACAAAAACTGTTTGGATGATATGATTAGCAAGAGTATTTCTCCTTTCTTTAGGCAAGGATTGTAAAAATTCTTTAAAGACTTAAGGTCTAGATTTCATTCTTTTTATTTGTTTTTGTTTTTTTTTTTGTTTTTGTTTTTTGCTAGGCAGTGGGGTTAAGTGACTTGCCCAGGGTCACATAGCTAGTAAATGTGAAGTGTCTGAGGCCAGATTTGAATTCAGGTCCTCCTGACTCCAGGGCCAGTGCTCTATCCACTGAGCCACCTAGCTGCCCCTAGATTTCATTCTTTAATGGCTGAGGATGGATAGTAATTATATTTCAGGAACTACGACTCTTGTATTTTCATGGGGGGAGAAATCCCCAAGTAAACAATGGAAAAGTTGAGAATAACTCCCTTGTTCCTTTCACTTTTCCATCGTTCCTTTGGATATATCTGTTAAGTGCCGGGTACTGGAGATAGAAGGACAAAAAACGGACCCCTCTGTCTTCAAGAAGTTTGTCTTCTGTTGGGGGAAATAAACATATAAAATATATCTAAAGCAAATATAAAGTAACTTCAAGAGGTGGGGGCAAGAGGGAATCAGAAAAGGCCTTCTGCAGAGGTGCTCAAGCTAACCTCAGAAAGAAGCTTACATAATAAACACAGTTGGTGTTGTATTTGTTAGGAAGAGAAGTCGGCGTGCTACCGGAATGTATTACAGCACGGGATGTAAAGGCCACCATTACCCTGCCTTGGTGTCAAGGAAATTAAGTGTCCAGACCATCAAGCATTTACACATCTCCAATTTCTTACTGAAGATTTCTCAATATGGTGCCCCCTCCCCCCAAAAAAGGACCCTTTCTGTCTAAATGAATAATTGCTGCTTTGTCCTGAAATGAATGTCGTTATTTTTCCAGAGACTCACAGCCCGTCAAGCGTTTCAGACCTAAATCTTTAAGCCCTAAAGTCCATGTTCTCCATTTCTATCCCTAATTAGGTCAGGATTGACTCCCATTTCCCATCTTCACACTTTTGTACAGGCTGCTCCGTGATTGGAATGTAGTCCCTCACCTCTCCCTCTTAACACACCTTAAACGTCTGGCTCAGGTCAGTGATGAGTATGGAGGAGAGAGTGAAGATATTTCTCAAGAGATTTTGAGTTTAAGAGAATGTTAGTGAGGAGAAGAAGCCCGGAGCAAATAGCCTCAAATACCTCAGTGAAGGAAGAGATGATGAGGAAGGAAAGAAGGTTCGGAACAGCCCGTGTGGGGGATCATTTAAAAGAATAAATTAGGAGTCAAAGTGGTGTCTTGTGGAGGCCAGTGCCCAGCTGAGGTTAGAGGAAATCATAGTGAATCCAGTCAGTTCAGACGTGGGAGTCACTCTTCCAGCTCCACTTTCAGCAGCACCTTGAAAAATAGGAGGAAGATGGTGGAAGTAAAGTATCCAGGGTTGTGGTTTGACAAAGGTAGATAAGACTGGGGGCCAGAGGATTCAAGAGCAAAGGACAGTGTAGACCTGAGACTGGGAGGGAAAATGGTGAAGTTAGAGCTGGGGTGATGTGATGGTTTGGGAGATTTTTGAGAAGTGGAGAGAATCGAATTGGTGAGAATGAGGCACAGGTGCAGGGCAAGGCACAGGGAGAGATGGACTCCTGGGAGGTTATTTTTTAACCAAGGACTTTTGGACAGTTGTGGTTGTCAGGTGTTCATGAGATCAAAGGTGTGACCATTCCTGGGTCAGGAAAGCATCCGCCAGAATAGCTCACCTATTACGGCCGTGTTCAAGATGACAGTAAAACAAAGGATGCCCCATCTTCAAGTACACAACAGTTCTGATGAGATGGTCAAAGGTTTTGTTCTTCTGACTTCTTCCCATTTATTCATCTTAACAAACAGCAGCTAACAACCAAGGCTGTTTTCTTCTGCACCACCTTCAGATCTCTCATATCTGTCTTTTTCCCCCCTTCATATTAGTGATGTTGTAAGTAAGAATTAGAACCAATAGAAGGAACCACCAGAAAGAGGAAACAAAACACAATCTGATATAGGCTATACATATACATTCCTATTAAACATTTTCACATTAGTGATGTTGTAAGGAAGAATTAGAATCAATAGGAGGAACCACCAGAAAGAGGAAACAAAACACAACAGAAGAAAAAAAAATAGCAAATAGTATGCTTCGATCGGCATTCAAACTCCATAGTTCTTTCTTCGGATGGGGATAGCATTTTCCATCATGAGGCCTTTGGAGATGTCTTAGATCTTTGTGTTGCTGAGAAGGGTTAAGTCTATCAATATTAGTCATAACACAACGTGGCTGTTACTGTGTATGGTGTTCTCCTGGTTCTGCTCACTTCACTCAGCATCAGACCATACAAGTCTTTCCAGGTTTTTCTGAAGTCAGTCTGTTCATCATTTCTTATAGCACAATAGTATTCCATTACATTCATATACTACCACTTGTTCAGCCATTCCGTAATTGATGGGCATCCTCTCAATTTCCAATTATTTGCCACCACAAAAAGAGCTGCTATAAATATTTTCCCATTTGTATGATCTCTTTGGTAGATAACCCTAGAAGTGCTATTGCTGGGTCAAAGGGTATGCATCATGTCTTTCTAAGACAGGTATAAACCATTTAAAATCCATATTATATAATGTCAGTACTATCTTGCTAGTCCTGCTGAGGCAACTAGGTGGTACAGTAGACAGAGCACTGGACTTGAAAGACAGGCTGAAATCTCCCCTTAGACATGAGCTAGTGTGACCCTGGGCTAGTCACAACTTCTGCTTGCCTCAGTGTCCTCAACTGTAAAATGGGAATAGTAATAGCACCTACCTCCCATTATTCAAACCTGTTAATATTTGTATGGCATCTACTCTGTGCTAGGTTCCCAGCACATAGTAGGTGCTATATTAAGTGCTAATTTGTTATTCGTCCAAATCACTGCTATAGCCATTATGTAGAGTGGAGGAAGTCATGGGAGTTTAAGTTTGAGAAACAGAGTTTGGGGTGTTTAAAGATACATCGACACAGATGGTGTTTTGCATGACTTAACATGTATAATTAATATTGCTTGCCTTCTGGGGGTGGTGGGGGGAGCAGGAGGGAGAATTTGAAACTCTTAATTTTTTAAAAAATAAAAAAAATTGCATGTAATTAGGAAATATTTAGCAAAATAAAAATATGCAGTATAAGAAAAGAAAGAAAAACATATATGAGGAGTTGGTGGAAAGGATAACCATGATCCCTGATTGAATTTGAGAAGAGAGAATTTTCTAAGGACTGAGATAAATTACAGTAGGATTTTGAGTAATAAATTTGAATGGAGTGAAACTTAAAAGGAAGAGAAATTGCTGAATGATAGTGACAAAGAGAAAATCTGGAAGTGGCTGGGCAACAAGTAATTGAGGCGGTCTGGTAGGAAAGACAGAGACCCTGGGATGCCCTGAAGCTACCTCTTCTGCCTGTCCTCAGTGATGAGGAAGCAGAGTAGGGCTGGACTGGAGAGGTTCTCCCTCGCCTTGGGACCCCACTTCAGACAGTTTGTGATCCTCTATGCCACCAAAGGAGGGTGGTATGGTAGTAAAGGAAGACCCAGAGACAGTCTTCTCCCTGAATGTATATCTACCAAGTAGATAGTTGTATGTTGTTTCTCCCATTAGAATGTGAGCTTCTTGAGGACAGGAACTGGTTTTTCCCCAGTGTGTGGTAAGCACTTAATAAATGCTTCTTGAACAACCTTGGAATGTAAGAATTTGTCTGTGGTGGGGCATACCAATAACTTAGCGGCTGGAGACGGAGTGGAGTTAGTCACGGGTGGTGGGAATGAAGGAGAAGGGAGGGATAACTATGGCAGAGGACCTACAAAGGATTGTGAAGTGCACGGAGGGCTTCTTGGAAGAGGTATGCTACCCTCTGGGGAAGGGAAATTAAGTTGTACTTAATTTAGTATTTATTAAGCACCTACTGTGTGCAGAAAACTGAAGCTCTGGGGAGGCTATAAAGATGATTCTGAAATTAAGATCCTGCGTATTTGGGAAGATGATAATTAGAACAGGTGAGAGAGGCAACAAGATACAATAAAGATAACGTTGGACTAGGAATCAAGAGACTTGAGTTCCAGTCCCCATTCTGTCAGTAGTTGTGATCTCGGATAAATCATTTTACTGCAGTAAATGGGTCTTTGACTCCTCATCCCCTGTTCACTACACTCTTTATTACTTTTCATCATGTTTTCTCTACTCTTCATCACTTTACACATCTTCTATTCCCATAACATTTCTATTTGTCTTTATTTAGGGGGAAGGGGGAATAAACATTTGTAGAACACCTACTATGTGCCAGGCTTTCTAGGTACTTTTTACAAATATCTCATTTGATCCTCACAACAAACTTGCTAGTTAAGTGCTATTATCATCTTCCTTTTTACAATTGAGGAAACTGGGGCTAATACAATAATATATTTTAAAGCCGTTTACATATTTTGTTTATAACACAATAGATATTTCCCCACAGTCAGTTAACCCCCTTGAGAAAAGACATTTCTTGAACAGTTAAATTGTTGTTAGCAGAAATCCTCAACTGTAAAATGAAAAGGGAAGAGAATACATTTATTAAGCACCTGCTATGTGTCAGGCACTGGACTGAGCAGTTTACAAATATCTTATTTAATCCTCACAACAACCCTGAGAATTGAGGGTTTGGGGTGCTGAGGATACATCACCCTGACTATAAAAACAAGAGTTGGTGTAAAAAAAGACCATGAGCCAGAGAATGAACTGAAGAAAGGAGAGAGAATGTTCTGAAGTCTAAGAGATAAATGCTTCTCTGGCTCTGAGTGATAAATTTGAATTGGTGTGAACCTTAGTGAAAGAGAGG